GTCGTACAATGTAGGGGTTTGAAATTACTTTTATTAAAACTCATGCATACAGTTTTTGATTGGCAGTTGTAAGAGTATCACCTGATTAACTCCACAGCATGCAAAGATGTACAAATGTCATTAGTTACTTGTTTGAGAGGACTTTAAAAAATTTCAAGTTGTTTAAGCATGATGAGTTACGCCCCTGTATTTGACTCTCTGCAAACTGGGGAATAGATCTACAGAAGGGTTAATGTTTCAGCACTGATAAGATGAAATTAAAAGTCCCTGTTTACAGTCTTAAAAATTGCAGAAGCAGTGATTTTGTACGGGGAAGCTCGATGTAGGTAATGTAGGGTACCATGGAGAATTCCCCTAAGAAACAGGTATGAATACCTGTTGAATATGGTATGAATATCAATGTCCAGTAATTTATACCTAGGGAATAATAAAGTATGCCATAACAGGGTAAGGGGGGGTGAAACAATGGTGCAAAGTGAATGTTAAATACTAGAAATTTTTTTTCTTCCAGTCTTTCAGCACTAGCAAGGGTGAGTGGAGTCCTGAGAATGACTGAAAACTCTGCTGGTGAGTGAGGTTATTAAAATCATAGAATCATAGCACTGTTGTGGATGCAAAAGACCTTTATGAATCTCTCAGCATGGAGCATTTTGAACAAATCCTCACAGGGAGCCAAGCACTTGGTGTTTCATGGTGAATACTGGAACATGTAGGTACACTGACCTAGCCTATGCCACTTACTCCTGGCCATAGGTAAGGCAGAGCAGTTCCCTCTCCTATCATTGCCCTCTGCCGGGCATAGGAAGAGGTTGGAGCTGTTCTCACAGCTCTTGCCTACATCTCTACATAACTGAATTTGAAATGGGAGCATTGAAATAGCATGTCCTAAAATACTGGCTTATGTTGATCCTCCTGTTGAAGACATTTAAACATATGGATAGATCAATAACTACCTAAAGAAACCTAAACATAAGAATAAAGAATTGCCATGTCAATTCCCACATGTAAAAAGGCACTAAAATTTTCCAGACTATTAAGATTGTTCTATTGTTTGAAAGTAATAAGGTATTCCGGATATGCCTGAATGTCATTAAAAATGACAAACATTGTTGGATTAGACACATTATCAACCACGCTGTCATACAGGTCAGTAGGGTTGGCTGGGTTCTTTGGTGGTGGAGTGATTAGTCCAGCAGCCCCAGCACAGTACTGCCCAGTGAGGACCCGAGCCAAGTACATGTGTTTTTTCCCATTTGAATCCGGAACAGAATACCAATCCTGAGCAGAATAACTTGCGTTAACAGCAAAGTAGGTTCCGTTTCCAATGCTTGCAGCTGTTTGAAAAGACAACATTTTCAAATAGTGTTCTTATTCTCATAGGAATCTCTAAAGCTCGCCCCACTTTTTTTTATTTTTAACTCTGTAGATGTTATATATTTGGTGAGAGTTTAGACAGAAAACTCCACAATAATCCTTTGTATCAGAATCAAATATGAACCCACATAGATATCAGGTAAGTATCAGCACCCACGTTTTGACTACCCCTTCCTATGGGGAAAAGGGCTCCTCTATTTATTTAGCCTTGTTTAGCCTGCAATCTATGAAATTTCAATTCTTCAGAGACTTTTCTACTTAAAATGACTATATAACTGTCATTACAGTTTTCTAGTCACACTTCCCAGCAAGTTAGAGGAATCACATGCCTTTGTCCAAGACTAATTTCTTTTTTCTGACATTGGTAGAGGGCTGTTCAAGCCAGACAGGTCCTTCCTATCTGGCTGCTCTGATGTTTGGGTACTTTTGCTTGGCTACCCAGCCTGACAGAAGGGAAGCTGCCTTTCCAGTCGTAAATCATGACTGAGATGAAAAAGTGGATGCCAA